TTCTTTCGAATGAGAAAGTTGTCACAATAAAACCATGCACTAACTAACAACTCGTCTCATGATGCAAGCAACCTGATAAAGCTATCGTAGCAAGTAATTTTAATAATGTCCAGTCAATGTACAAGTCGCGAGACAGAGAAAGATCTACTTGTTTACGAGAGAATTGGACTTTGACGACGCGTGTTTCTGCACTGCCAAGCATTGTTCGATGAATCAATGATTGTACTGTCTTCAAATGAATAACTAGGGTGTGGATGTTGGAAAGGTGTACATAGCGTGAGTGGATGGGGGAGAAGGAATGTGAGTGTGGTATGTGTGGGGATGTCGTTGAACAGATGGTAGACATCTACATCCGAGCTAATACCCTTATCTTTACATTATATTATGGTAGCATGTTCTAATGTTCATGATACCATGAGCTTTATTCATTACGCTATCCAATAATTACAAAATCCATCTTAGAGTCAACTTTTAAACGATACCAACTACCTTCAGTAATACAGGAATGAACTTCATGTAGCCAGTAGGAGTTTTTTTTTCTTCTATTCAATCATCATTTTTCGTTCACCCTTCTCGTTAATGTTTTACAAGGTGCTATGTGAAGTTCTTCTCACCAAAGTGTGTATTTAAAAACAATTCGAAAAAAATAAAAACTTGGAGGTAGACCGAATAGAAACGAAGCAGTACGCATTGCCATACTGTAAAAGTAAGTAAAACATGATTTGCACAAAATGAGCAAATGGTACAAATTGCAAAAAAACTGTGACAAACAAAATAGGGTTTGGATGTGAATGTGAATGGAGTGTGTGGGTCGAGAGTAGAACAGCATCCGGACCTACACCTACATCCACCCATATCCTTCAGATAATGAAGCGTCATTTGAAAATATAATTAATGGTATATGCCAGTGTAATATTCAGTTGAAAAGTGTTTCTCCTAAATTATTGAGAAGCAAATTAAAGATGATCATCGGTCGAGATGATCCTTTTGAATCTGTAGAAGAGTTCTTATCAAATAATGCTTTCATTGAAAGATGTATACATATTCAGATTCCTCATGAAAAACTGCATCAGAATTTCGAGAAATCTTAAAATTTATTATATATTTTCGTGCTTTCATCTGGAGCTTACTTTTTTTTTGTATATGACGAAGCAAAGAAGTCTCTTAAAAAGTTAATCAAAAATCCTGAATATATCTAAATGGTAGCATAACGAGTTCAAAAAGTTCTCCAATTCTAAGGATTCTGATGAAGTTTCTCAAGAACAATCTGAAGATGTTATTGGTTTTAGAATTTGAGTAGATAATTACCCATTTTTCGGTCAAGACGTAGATATTACTATTTGCAAAATAATATATTTTTCATGCATAAAATGAACGTTAGTATTTGATCTGTATTTTTATGAAAACAGGGTCAGATATAAAAATATTTATAACTAAAATGATCAGTACAACGAGTTCTACAAGTCCTGAAAGTTTCATTGGATGTAGACATAATTGCCAGATCAATCGAGTAAAATTTCACGGATACACCAGTTATGATTTGTTTACATTTTCTTTTCTATTCATGATATTGACAAGAAGATCTGCTCACGGAAGCATTCTATTCATTTAACAATTTATTTATTTCTATTCAACTAACAAAAAATAAATCATGCTCAATTCTTAAGCAAATGAGCTTTTTAATATGTTTGGATTTCACTGTCGTATTGTATTAGTTAAATCTTTGTGTTTTATCATAGCTTTTCTTATGCTTTTCACGAAAAACTATATGACAAATATAAGAATTACAAAATTATTTTGTAGAAAATCGAAAAAAAAATGTACAATTGAAATTAAGAAAATGTTTGTCCAAGTATTACATGTAATTTAAATATTTCATTTACTATTATTATTGATGATCCTAAATCAATATTCATTAGGATGTAGGTGTGGGTGTGAATGCTGAAGTTCTCTGCACACATACATTCAAGATATGTTGATGATATCAACTGGTCTAATTATTATCTATAATCATATTTTCTATTCTAAATGTTATTTTAAAAATGAGTAGAGAGAAACAGACAAAAATAATTAAGCTAATGATCTCAAAGTAGACTTTAGATAAAACAAAATTTTTTTTTTTTTATTTTGCTAATGAATAATTATAATAATAGTATATGGAATAGTAATTCATCATCATTACCTACTAATACTTAAGGAGTGGCATAAATGGATCTAACTTAATTGATCTATCATCAATTAATTAATTATTATAATATGATGCAAGTAGGCATTACAGAATCGATCTCTTGAGATACAACAATAAAAGTAACAGATTCAACCGTTCAAAACAATAACCATTTTCATTACACCTAATTTCTATATTTTCTTTTCCTTCAATTTTGAATACAATAAAAATTATTTTATTGAGGGATCCAACTATATAGTTATAACAACCTGATTATAATTAACAACGGATTAAATATTATCGATCAATTGGAGAAAATAATATTGCTAATCAGATCATACAAAAAAACGAAAGAATTGACACAGGTATTCTGAATTTGTAATCATCTCTCTTTACTTTTTCCTATAATCAAATGAATAATTTTCAAATGATTCTACACCGATTGTGTCTAACACTATTCATTTCACTTTCACTTTTTTAAAATATATTCTAGATGATCATTTTCTATGTTTATTCTAGATCGATGTCAACATCTACATCGAATACATGTATAACATATTCACCTTGAATTAATTCAACGTCGACAATACAAGCAACTGCTGTCACTATTATCACTAAGTAGATATAGATTTTGAATGGATGTTCTATTTGATTTTCTCTTTCTTTATTATAAACAAAAGGTTTGCATGAAAGATTTGAAGAATCGTTTGTCAATTAAAAAGTTGTAGAAATTATTTTAGCTTAATCTTCATTGATTTTCACCATAGAATCCTAAAAACTAAGCATATTGTTGATTAATTATATGACTTAAATTATAATTTTCAAATTAATTAGATAATTAAGGAAGAATCTTTGACTATGTCAGCGGCATCACTTCTTCAGATGATCTTCTATTAATAAAAGGTTTTTATTACAGTGAAAGTAGTTTAAATGACCATCGTTTGGAATAAGTCGAAAGAATTGAAGTAAAAATGATCTAATTTAAGCTATATCCAGTATAATTTAAAAAAAAAATTTCTTTTTCGTTTTAGTTTGGTTTCAGATTTTGATAGATCTTGATGTGTGCCCGTCATGCTGAAAATTTCAGGTTGATTTCGTGTCCAACGGAGAAGATCGGTCTTAATAGTTAGCAATATTTATATTGATTTTATTTTATTATGCTCAATTATTTTTTCTTAATATTATTTTGAACATATTCTTGAAGAAGATATTCTTTGTGTATATTATAATTCGATAGTTATTTTTCGTGATTTAAGAGAAATAAAATTTATTGGAGAGCTTATATTTTTGAGTAGTGACCGCTGTCCAGAAAATCGAAGATGTACAAGATACTATAAGAAATGTAAAATATATGAAAATATACTTTTGTTGTCTATTCAATTATTCCATATTAATGAAACGAGGTATTCGATCTTTTCAGAAGATGCATATAAATGTTTTTCAAACATTTAGATTTCGAAAACAAAAAAAAAAAATCTTCTCTAATTTCTTTCGAATTTTATCATTCGAACAGTCAAAGGTAAATCGTACTTATTTATCATATTTGAATAATTCATAGAGTGACGGTCAAAATTATTCGACTACTCAGAAAAACTATATTATTCGTTATTTATGTCAGTAATAGAATGTAGGTATAGGACTTTGATTTTTGCAAAATAGTGACATAATGATTATTTTCACTGTGTCAAAATTGTCCGACTACTCTTTTTTGCTACTATCCATATCTGGCTCATTCCAACTTCATATTCAATTTCAGGATATACTATTCGAAAGGAAAAAATTGTGCTCTACAAGATGTACTATTTTTTATTTTTAGTTTCTTTCTAAAAAAAAAAAAAGATCGATAAAGGTTGATTTCAATACATATCTGAAACATTATGAATTAGAAAGAGATTCTTTCTTAAATTACTAGCAAAATTCTAATTTTAAATGTATTTTTATAGAATTTAAATGCATTGCTAGAAAGAACATCATAAACTGCACTAGAAATGCTGTTTTGAAAATTATTCTATTGCAAAAATTGTAGATAATGCATTATCATGATCATTCCTTCATCCTCATAGTAATAGGTAGGGTATTGTAAAGTTTCATTATTTTTGAATCAGAAATCGACATTAGAACCTTTTTCAAGATGACAAGTTTGTGCAGAATTTTTTTTCTTTACAAAACTAACATATTTAAAAGGAAAATAAATATGATTCTAAAGAGTTATATATGCTTTTCTCCTTGAATAGATAAAGATTAACAATATTTTCATGAGGTGAACCAGCGTGAGAGTGTGGGTTTGAGTGTTGAGAATGGATATACTCATAACCACACCCACACCCACCCGCCTATCCTGATAATAGAGAATTAATTTGAAATAAAATGAATTTTGTTTTTATAAATGCAGTAATCATTTTGTCATTTCTTATCCGTAATTTGTGATGAAGTTAAAAGGAAATCTAAAAAAATTTGTCCAATGTGGGTATAAAATTTGAAACCAGAAGATAGTAATTATATGATTTCGAAAGAAATTTGAGCGATTATGGTCAGTAGTCAAGTTCTCATAAATTGTGGTTAGTTTTTCATAAAAAAAGCAATCTATTCAAAAGATATAATTTTTTTTTATTTTCAATCAAGCTAGGTTTTTGTTTGTTCTTAGTACTACATATAAACATATAATAACTGCGTGAATAATGTAACAAGAAGCACATGACATAAAATAAAATGAATATAAGAGAAACAAACAATGTATTAGACATCAAACTAGATAAATGAGAATTGTTTATCTTGAGACGTCAAGTGACGTATCTATCTGAATGAAAGTCACCATTATGAAACAAAATTACGATCAACACATAAGATAATCATCATATTCATCTATCATATTGCATAGTTCTATTTGTCGTGCAAGATTTTCTTCTTCAGTCTTAGTTGTTTCTTCTTGTGTATCACTTCCTTTTTCAATTGCACCATCAGTTTTTACTGTTGATACTATATGACTTTTATCATCAGTAAATTTAATTGGATCAACAGCTGGACGTCTACATAAATAATACATGCCTGTTTTAAGACCCTTAAAACAAATCAAATTTAATCATTCTCAAATGTAACAAGAATAAAAAAAATATACAAACTTTTTTCCAAGCATAAAAATGCATTGATGAAATTTTATCCATAGTCGGTTCAGCAATATGAATATTTAATGATTGTGATTGATCAATAAAAGCACCACGATCAGCAGCCATATTAATAATAACTTTTTCTGAAATTTCCCAGACTGTTTTATATAATGCTTTGATATTATCCGGAATAGTTTCAATATTCTTCATAAAACAAAAAAACAACGATAACGAAATAAATTTATAAAAATGAAAACATACTTGAATTGAACCATTTTCATACATTAAACGATTTTTCATATCTGCATTCCATAAGCCTAATTCAGTTAAATCTTTTAATAAATGATTATTAACAACCTTTAATTAAATAATTTTAATCTCTTAGAATTTTTTTTTCTTGTAAATTCTACTTACTTCAAATTCATCAGAAAGTACACGTCGTACATATAAATTACTAGTATATGGTTCAATAGATTCATTATTATCAAGAATTTGAGCTGTTGATGTTCTTCGCATTAGTGATAATAATAAACTATTTCGAATACCATATTTTCCTATTTCATTACGAAGTTCCGTCCAATTCCAACGATCCGAAGGTTTAACATTCCACATATCAAATTGAAGAATCTTGATTAAAAAAAAAGAAAAGCTACTTATTTCTATACAAAAAAAACCATGGTGTTAGCCCAATTCCTCTAGGATCAAAACATAAAAACATAATGTAACTACTCTTACTGATCACAAGAAGATTATTTTCTACGGTCTATTTTTGGACTCATTTCTTCACCATCCTTTTTACTGAATAATGTCTGTCATGATCTCTGAATATTCCTTTTAGATTCTATTTCAAAATATTTCAAAAAAGAAAATTACACTTACACCTTTACTAACAGGTGAACCTTCATATGTTTCATATGGACCTTGAATTTTAGCTATTTCACAACTCGATTTTAATGCAGCATAATACATTGTTTCAAATATATCACGATTAAGTTGTTGAGCTTGTTTACTTTCAAATGGAAAACGCATTAAATAAAATGTATCAGCAAGACCTTGAACACCAATACCAATTGGACGATGACGAAGATTTGATGTTTTAGCCTAAAACAAAATTAAATTAATAAAAAAAAAAAAAGGAAAATAAAAACAGTTAACAACATACTTCTTGTAATGGATAAAAATTTCGATCGATTATTTTATTTAAATTTCGTACAACAACACTTGTTACTTCAACAAGTTTATCAAAATCAAATGTTCGATCTGAACGTACAAATCGATTTAATGCAATTGATGCTAAATTACATACAGCAATTTCATTTGGTGATGTATATTCAATAATTTCTGTACGTAAATTTGAACAATGAATTGTACCAAGATGTTTTTGATTACTTTTTGCATTACAATGATCTTTATATAACATAAATGGTGTACCACTTTCAATTTGTGCATTAACAATAGCAGACCATAATATTTGTGCTTTTATTGTACGAAGTCCAAGACCTTCTTGTTCATATTTTGTATATAAATCATCAAATTCTTTTCCGCAAACATTTTGTAAATGTTTACATTGATGTGGACACATTAATGTCCATTCATGATTAGCTTCAACACGACGCATAAATAAATCTGGTATCCATAATGCTGGAAATATATCACATGCATGTTTTCCTTGACCACCTATATTTTTTCTTGCATTCAAAAATTCAAATATATCAGCATGC